TACTTGCTGCCATTCGCACCATTCGGCTGGCTCATAGCTCGCATAACCTATCTATATATCATGGGGCATTCCCGTTTTCTTCTGGTACCCATGCCAACCTAACTCTATCGACAGGAATACACAAAATAGTCTGTAATCAGGCACATACTGTATTGTTGCAATTGTCATCTTCCACGTGCCATGTGTCTAGTGTAAACAAACGTCGCAGTTGTGGGTTGTGCACAGTGAGCTATGACAGCGTTCACAGGATCGTTTTCATCAATTCCGATATACAATCTGTGTTTGTTTGTTTGGTTGTTTGTTTATTTGTTTATTCGCTTGTTGGTTCATTCGTTCATTTGTTTCCCTGTTTGTTCGTTAGTTTATTGATTGTTGTTCGTCTTGTGGAGCTTTCCACCTGATATAGTGTATAGTATATATCAGGGTGTCAGGGTTTAGGATCTCTAACTGACATACTCTGATCGTCCACAGTTTGGGCGAAACTCTGGTGCTCTCGAACATCGAAGCACGGGAGACCGCCACTTTCTTCATCAAGGTGTTTGGTGTGCCTGTTCCGTTCTTTCCGTACGGGCGATGGTATCTACCAATCCCTAGGCGTGGCCCTATTACACTTATAGGTAGGTCCCGTTTGGCCCTACTTAATACACTTATAGGAAGGTCTCGTTTGGCCTCAATACACCTATAGGCAGGTCCCATTTGTCCCTACATAATACACTTGTAGGTAGGTCCCGTTTGACCCCATTACACTTATAGGTAGGTCCCATTTGGCCCTACTTCATACACTTATAGGAAGGTCTCGTTTGGCCCCAATACACTTATAGGCAGGTCCTGTTACACTTATAGGTAGGTTTGAGTATATCCATACGCACAAAGTATATCCCTGTTCATTTGGCCTGGCTGCAACTATAAAGCTCAATGCCAGGCTGGACGTTTCATGACGTGTACCTGTTTTGCACCTGAAATATGTGTTCAAACTCACATTACGCGGGGCACGGCTTAGTATAGGCTAAACATGATGCTTGGGTCTCGCTCACTTCGCTGGACTTGTAGTACAGTCTCTGATATGGGCTATAAGTCCGTACTATTGCCGTGTTTTTTACATACACTGACACATGCTGCTCTTTTACAAAAAATCGTGCATAGACTGAGACTTGATTCTCTAATACAATCGTTCATATACTGACACATGCTTCTCTAATCCAATGGCGCAGTGGGGAAGCCCATTGAAGTGGAGCTGAACGAACATCCCGACCCAGAGTACATTGACGAAATCTGTGACAAGTACTACGCACAGATTAGAGCCTTGTTTCACGAACACAAACACGAGACAGGACACGGAGACTACGAGATTATCTTTGTGTAAGTGGGCGGGTGATACCGGGGGAGTTGCGTTGACAGAATGGCTTTAACGTGTCATTAGTGGGGCCTATTCTCATGGCTAGTTAGAGTTGTTCGTTGGTCTGTCTTGGTTCACCTGTGCACACTCCTGCGGCGAGAAAACGCGCCCATGCACAGCGTCATTTCGTACATAAATCGAAGATTGCCTGAGCGGGATCCAAAATAGTTAGTCACGGTATACGCTGGTTGAGTTTCTCTTTAAACTCAACTGATCCCGAGCCCTTAATCCGGGGCGTGACTGTACACACAGCCTGGAAGGTCGGGGAGCAGTAGGTATTGGTTGCCTGGCAACGGTTGACGGGAAAGCTTTATATGGATACCCATGTGATTCCTATGAAAGCTTTTCTTAGTAGCACTCTTCGAGTGTGGGATCGGCATGCACGTCCCGGAAGTGTAGTATTAGTAGTGTGGTAGTAGTTTGGTAGTAGTTTGATAGTATTAGTAGTTTGGTAGTATTAGATAATTAAGGTGCATGCCCTGATGTAGAATACCTTGGGAATTTACACGTAGCCCCTTACAAGTCTCGCGTAGATGATCTGTTGGAGCTATGGATGAGTTCCCGACAAATGGGACATGGGTCTTCTTTCAGGGCCCTTTGGTACTTTCCGTTGATACAATGTCCCAGCTATATCGTATCAGCCACAGCAAAACTGGACAACTACGCCAGCAGCACCAGATGGGAGTTACACTGCAGTGAGTGTTAACCAGCAAGGGCAGGCCTACCCAGGGTGTCTTATGAACTGCCTGTCTGCATTGTTCAATGTGTTCTGGTGCATCCATGTATAAGGTTGTGAGTACATCGCAAGGAATGGTACCGACGACGGGGATGTGTCCAGCATTAACTTAACTGACAAGTCGCTTATACGCACGAGATGGCCATTGGATCATAACCATCCATCTTTCTCCGAAAAGTTTGACTCGACTATACGCCCGCAGCGTACTCTCATAGTGTAATTGTTTGTGAATGGAAAGAACTGCCATAGGGTCTGGCAACTACAGCTTAGACGGAGAACCATACACGCCTGAGATCTTGTGAGCTTATGAGCATATTGGACTTTGTACGAGTATAGCCTTTGTTCATTCAGAAGGCTATGGAATTTTACACTCGAAACATCCGGAGAAGTACGAATTAGTTAGAAAGCACCTTTTAAATGAATTTAGTCTAAGTAGAACTGAATAAACTTGATTTGCTGCTGTTCATAACTTGTTCGAATAATTACGGTCTCCTTCAGGTAGTCATACCCGATTATTGCTTAATCGTAAAAATTAATTAGGTTCAAAACAGGTCCGATATCAAGTTACAATCGGACACCTCTCGCTGGGCCTCTGTGTGTAGAATAGTCGTCTACTGCTCGACGTAGCCCGAATTTGGTATTAGAACGCAGCACTTTAAAAACATACGTTGACCTCTCATATAACCATTATCGTGTAGACATGCCTTTAGAAACATGTGTTTAGGGTTGCGTTTATTCGAATTCCTCAAAATCCTACATATATCGTGTTATAATTGGTGTATATATATAATATATATATGAGAACATATATGCCATTACCTACAGCTGGGGCCGCAGCACAAGCACGCTCATGATAGCTATATGGTCACTCGGGTACCGTTCACATGGTAAAAAGGCCTCTCCCACTTCCTCCTCACTTGGTATCCGTAGCACAGACGAGGGGGACTTGAAGTGTTGTGTGCTGTAGAATATGTAGTCGATCGTACGCCTTCGGGTGATAGGCGGCCTGTGCTTTAGTGTGGTGTGCGGTGGTTCTTTGCCATAAAACTGTCTGTAAACAGCAGTGTTATACGATATTTGGGTTAGGTGCCTTAATGCGGTGAATGGAGGAGCATAATATCAGAAACTGTACAGCAAATTTTGGAAACCATGCCTCAAGTTTTGACAGACAGGGTTGTAGGAATATACAAACTTATCCAAAGTTCATGTTCAAATGCTGATTCTGACCTACATGATATATATTTATACATACATACATACATATATATATAATATATATATATATATATATATATATATATATATATATATATATATATATATATATATATATATATATATATATATATATATATATATATACTATATA